TGAATGTAACTCTCTCTAGAGCAGTCCTCCCAATGGATACATTTTAACTTCATTCTAAGTTTATGTCTTTTGTTTTTATTTCACTGACAAAATGCATCTGATGCGGGCATACTGCTGAAACACCCTCACGTACCAGATCCACTGTTCCTTCCACGACAACTGTAAGCGACCCTACCACCTTTTCTCCTCGCCAATGAAGGTACACTTTTAAGTGGCGCAGGGGAAAGCTGCTTGCTTTTGGTCAATAAAGTGTCTATGAAACTATGGTAAGATACGCTCTTAAAAGACCAGTAATTGTCAATGCGCCTTGCTCTACTACACCAACTGGGCTTAGAAATAAAATTGATTTAGTTCTCAGCCAGCTCCTCTCCTGAGCTCCTAGGGAAATTTAAAAAACATACTATATCCCTGTCCTTGTCACTTCAGATTGCAAAGTCAGAGTCAGAATTGGGGATGGGTCACAATTACGAAAAATGCCTCTTTTGACCTGGCAATCCAGACTACTGCTGATGAAAAGAAGAAAGCCCACATAGGGTGGCCTAGTCTAAGTTCTCTTCTTTCAGACCAAACCATCTTCCTTTCTGTCTATTCATACACTGAGGACTGAGCTCTGTGCACGGGGTGTGACTCCTCTGCATATAAATACTGAGCTTCAGAGCAACTTCGGAAAGCTCTGGTTTTCCCTCCTCAAACAGTCTACACTACATAAGAAAGTCAAGACATGTTGCTTGATAGCCACATTTCCTACTTTCCTTTTTTTTTTAAAAAAAAACAACCATTCACTTGTTCCTTACGTATTTAGTATGTAAATACCGTGTACCAGACATCCTGCTGAACGCTGGGCCCTGGACAGCGCACCCGGGCTTCATCACTCGCCCTGCTGTGAGCAGAGCACAACGTGGCATAGACACCCTTTCAGAAAATGAATCGCACTCAGAACATCCAATGTCAGGTCTCTGGTTGTCACAGTGATGGGGCCAGCAGGGATCTGCCTCCCAGAGACCCCTTTCACTCTAGGGAACTTGGGCTCCTCAGAACACAGTTGAGAAAAGATGCTGGTGTAGCAGAAAAGAGCAAGAAACCTGTGCGAGTGTGGACGATGCAACCTACCAGTGAAGTGTGACATCTCTGCTGACCACACGCGGCACTGAAGGCGGCAGCTGCAGACTAGAATGAGGACACTTTCGCCTGTTGCAGCATAATTTTGTTTTATATTTAGGTAAAGCTTATCACAGTAGTATTTTTCTATTAAAGACAAACGTGGAAATAGAGTCACATAAATCCAAGCACAGGGACAGTATGCAGTAAGAGAATCAAAGGAGTGAATCAGCCGTAAGTGGTCGATGTGCACGAGACGTTAGGCCTAACCCAGTCACATCCGCACAGGACGTGAAGCTCCAACGGGACCTTCTCCCGCTCGTCAGCCGGCCCTTACCTCTCGATCTCCGCTCGCTGGCTGGGGTTGGTGATGGCCGCGATGTACTGCATGATGTACTTACTGGCTTCCGTTTTACCAGCTCCGCTCTCCCCTGGGGGCGAAATCGTGCAAGGCTCACCGTTACAAATGGCATCGACAGTGAGCTAGTTTTTAAACAGAACAATTTCGAATTCTGATGTTAGTTATTCATGGGAAACCCATTACGTTTCACTGTTTGCTCTTTTTTTTTTTGAGTTATTTCACCCTGTCTTGATATGGGATTGGTTCTAACAAATCTGAACATGTCGAAAAACATAAAACCAGGGTGGAAGCAAAATAACAGATTACAGATTAGGATTTACTTAGCAAACATATCAAGGGGGTAAATCGTGGTAAACTAATTCCTTAGACTAAAGTCTGAGGACTTGGCAGTGACTCTGAAAAGTCTGGCGGAGGAGAAGCAAACTAGGGACAGACAGCGGCCACGGGTAAATTCACACAACCTTGTTTTCTACAGCAGGATTTCTTTTCATCCTTATGGGGAAGGAGTAGTTCTTTCAGAAAAGTACAGCAATTCTAGTGAAAAAGTAAAACAAAGCCACAAGCTCCAGACATACGGTGCCACAGAAAAAGCATGACAGGTGACACAGGGAGGGCAGAAGAGATGAGTTTACAATTATCTACCCAGACTTCTAAATGTTCATCCCTTGTGACCCCAAACTCCACTTGTAGAAATTTATACCATAGAAACACTAGAAATACTAATATAATCCAGTAATAATCTTCAAAGGCTTTAAGAGAATTTCTGCAGATTATACCATGTGTTACAACTAAAATCTGAAATAATAGCCCCATTAGCAGAGGACTGGGTAAATAAACTATGATTCAACTACTCAACGGGACGTGACACAATGGTCAGAGAACAGACTACTTCTGTGGGTGCTCTGATGAAAAGATGTCCACTCTACATTGTTAAATGGAAAAAAAGTTTTGTAATGGTAGTTACAATACAATTCTATAATGTAATTAGACCTTTTAATATAATGACACAGGCACGTGTGCTACATGTATTTGCACACACTGAGAAAATGTATCAAAGGATGAACACTTTATTGTTCACAGCTGTTACAGCTAGAATTTGGGGAGAGACCAGGTGTTCAAGGGAGAGTGAGTGTCTGCTTTTACCTCATACACTTACGTAATTGCTTCCCCCACCTCTTTTACAGTCGGGCGATGCCACCTTCATAATTGGTTTTAGTGAAAATATAGGCCCGGGACATAGCTCTCCAACTCTAACACTAAGCCAAGTTGCCTAACTCCCTGACCCTTAATGTTCACATCCATGAAGCAGGAACACAACTGTCCTACTTACCAATCAGAGGGGTGTCCTGATAAGCAAAATGGAATAAAGATCACAAAAGTGTTTTAAAAATATAAAGCCACTAATGCAAATGTGAGACATTATTGGCACGAAAAGAAATGCCCATAGTTCGGGAGAGGTTATCCTGAGAGGGGGATATGTTCTTGTTCCCATTTCACGACACGATTCCGTGAAGAGCTCAGCTTTATGTGGAGAGCTCGGCTCCAGTCCTTGGGAGCCCAGGGCCTGCCACCTACAGGCTTGAGAGTTTGGGCCCCCAGCCCCAGGTCTGAGAGCCTGTTTCCAGCCCCCACGTCTCTCTTTGTCCCTTGACATTAGCTCCCACCCACCAATCTGAGTTCATCCCTCATTTCTGGCATCTCAGGATTTCATTTTCCTGGTTTCATTCTGTTACCATCTAAAATAATTTTTGTTACATTTTATCCAGTAGTTTGAGATGAGAGGATGCATTTCCCAGGTCAGCTTAGTCTACAAAGTTAACCAGAAGTCCATCCAAATGTAACAGGTAGTGTTTTTAAATGAACCAAGAACTAGTGGATGGCCAGAAATAATATAAACAATTTAGCATTTAACATTTCTTACATTTTTTTCCTATAAAATTATTTACGTTTCTAACTTCAAAAAAGACCTCATCGATCATGCGGGCCCCTGAGTACCAAATAAGTTAAATACATGTTGACTGTTGGAAGTACAGGGGATTCCTTAAGTACCTGATATCACAATGCAAGTGTCCTTCGATCGCCTCTTCATGGCCTTGTAAGCAGCGTCAGCGATGGCAAAAAGATGAGGCGGTCTCTCGTACAGCTCACGGCCTTTATACTGCTCGATAGTGTCTCTCCCATAGATGTTCAACAACTTGTAAGGGTTCACGGAAACAACAACTTCTCCAATGAAAGTGTAGATGCGTCCTTTTTCAAATCTGCACAGAAACAAGAGAAAAGGAAGAAGCAGGTGCTATTATAAAGAAATGCTTTTTCCTACAAGTCTCTTATTTCCAAAAAAACCCACAAAAACAAAAAAACCCCAAATATCCCAGGAGCAATTTCTGAACTAACATTTCACTGTTTTGAGTTCACTTTTATTTATTTTTAAATTTACTTATTTATTTTGAGTGGAGAGGTAATTAGGCTTATTTATTTATTTACTTAATGGAGGTGCTGGGGATTGAACCCAGGACCTCACACATGCTAAGCAGGCACTCTACCAATTGAGCTACAACCTTCCCCTCTGAGTTTACTTTTAGAGATAACCCTTGAGGCTATGTCCCTTCAGATGCTGCTCATAGAGAAGACCAGTAGGGGTGAAAAGCCAAGAGAGAAGATAGAATTTAATTCTTTGGAGGCTGGAGAGTTCCTGTGTCCAAAATACAGAAGGATAAGAATGGGAAAAATTAAAATAATTGAAGGCAAGCTAAGAGCTCTAGGAGGAAAAGATACAGAAGCTAAAGCAGGTCCTGAAATCCATTTAGTCAGATTTTCAATGGTAAAGAAAACTGTCCAAATGCATTTATTTCTTCTCCCTCTTAAAACCCCACTAAAATGTCAGCAGAAGAATAAAAACAGCAAAATCCATACCAGAGAGAATGGTTAGTGGAGACAGTTCCGACAAAAATCAAATTCATTTAAAAAAAAATGACTGCCTAAAGTTTCATGGTGCAGATATATCCTTATTTATTCAGTCATCCTCCTTTCTTCCCGCTGTTATGAACAATAATGTAGGGAACACTCTTGACACATAATCTTACAAATCAGTGCTTTTATTTCTGTGAAAGATTCCCAGGAATGGGACAGCTGATTTAAACGCATGTGTATTTTATAAAGTTTAACAGGATCCCACCACTCACACATATAAAAGGCTAAAAATCCACCCTGTGTATGATTTGTACGTATAGCTGTGCATAAATATAGTTTGTAAACGATTACATGAGTGTGGAAAAATACGGAAGAGTGCATGTGATATTTTATGTACCCTTTAAACACATAGTAGGGTGAGGAGGAAGAAGGCCATGTGGGCAGTTGGAAGAAAGTCATACGAACTAAGAAAAAAAAAAAGAGTAAAAAAAAAAAAAACCCACACACAGTATCAATAATGTGACTGGAATTGTGCAAAATCATGTGTCTATACTTGCAAAGAAAAAATAATACCAATGGAAAATTTAGAAAATCCATGCATATATTCACTATTGACACATTAACTCACACATATAAACACACATGAACCGGAGTGAGGACGACACCCAAAGGGATGTTTCCACACCAGTGGCTGCCCCGGTGCCCTCCACCTGCCCAGAGGCACAGGCAGACAGAGCTCACTCCCAAGAGCGGAAAGAAACAAGCGCAGAGACTGGAAAATGCTGGTCCATGGAAGCGGCCGTGTGTCTAAGCTTTCTTGCTGTTGGATCAGTGCAGCAGAGAAATAACTAAAGCATTTGAGACCAAGAGGCAAGAATCTTAAACCTCCCCTACACTGGAATGAAGGCTACCAGCTATAACTGGGAGTGGAAATAAACATGCTGATAATGTCAACAATAAATTAAAGCCAAGATTTTTATCAAGTAGTTATGTTTAAATAAGAGTTACTGAGGTTTTCTGTGCATTTTTCTTCTGTTGTTCTCCTCTGCCTCCCTTCTGTTGTTAGACAGAAAATTTGCTTATGTGGTAGCTAAGCACACCAACCCCGGAGTCTTTGACTGGGTCCGAAGGCTCCTATTACAAACTTGAGAGCAGTGAGCCTTTGTGAAAGCTGTTTTACCTCCATGTGTTTCAGCTCCTTCTCCTGTAAAATGGTGGTAATTACACCCTTCCCTCCCTCTGGCATCGAGTAAGTACTTAAAAAAAAAAGCAATTAATCTTCTGCATCCAATTACGTTCTGCATGAAGGAGATTTTTAATAAATGGTTTTATTTTATTAGCATTGCTACTAAAATCACAATAATCCCTACCCACGAGGAATTAATGCAACAATCATGATCCGTTTTCCTGCCTCAGCTGTCAAATGAACACAAGTCACAAGCAAAATGTCTACGTAACTCATGTTCAAAGACCCACAAAAAGAAGCAGCAGCTCAGAGTCACCACCCAAGCCTTTGTGGCTTAACCTGCCGATCTGAAGGACGTGTTCTCATCTTCAAAGGTGAGAACTGAAAGGACAAAATTCCTTAGTTTAAAAAACACTGCAAACAGAACAAATAAAGAGAAGGCGATGTTAGGGGGGAAAAAAAATTACCTCATGAGTCTGGAACTCTGTGACTAAGAAACAGCAAATAACATCTGAGATTAGAATGTTGTTCTAAGATTCCAGGTCTGCCCAACCGTGTAACTCTCTGAAATTCCACTGCATTTCAAATAGAATACTTTGTTTATCGAAATGTCTAAGCATCATGTTCGTAAAACTCTATGTATAAAGCCATCTAATGTGTGGCTATGGACTTGAGGGCACTGGCAAAGGCTGGATAAAATACACAGTGCTTCAGAAAAGTTTGCTTGTTAAAGATGAAACTTTCAATTTGGTTAGGCCTTAAAACCACCACTAGATGGTGCCAGCAGACACCTTAACGCCAACCCAAGGTTTCTGTTTGCTTTGGAGAGCCTCAGGGTGTGAAGCACTAAGGTAATTTACCTGTTTGCTTAGCCTCCAGGAGGAATGGCAGTAAACATCCTAGATGACCAACAGGGTGATACCATCTCTTACGACAGACCAAGGCAGGCCCTCCTACGACCTCTGTGTGCAAACCTTTTATGACAAACTTCTACCGTTCATTCCGCATATTTGAAATACTTCATACATTTTATAATTCATCATTCAATACCTGCTTTGTGACAGACTCTGGGTCTGATCCTGGGAATTAAGAAAGAAAGAAACCCTCCTACACTGTTGGTGGGAATATAAATTGGTGCAGCCACTATGGAGGACAGTATGGAGATTCCTCAGAAAACTAAAAATAGATTTACCATATTATCCAGCAGTTCCCGTTCCTGGGCATACATCCGAAGAAAAATATAATTCAAAAAGACACATACACCCCAATGTTCACAGCAGCACTATTTACAACAGCCAAGACATGGAAACAGATGACTGGATAAAGAACTTGTGGTATATTTACACAATGAATACTACTCAGCCATAAAAAAAAATGCCATTTGCAGCAACATGGATGGACCTGGAGACTGTCATTTTAAGTGAAGTAAGCCACAAAGAGAAAAAGTGCCATCCGATAGTGCTTATATGTGGAATCTTAAAAAAAAAAAAGACACAAATGAACTTATTTACAAAACAGAAACAGACTCGCAGACATAGAGAACAAACTTACGGTTACCAGGGGGTAAAGCAGGTGGGAAGGGATAAATTGGGAGTTCAAAATTTGCACCGTGCTCGGGGAGTGATGGAAATGTTAGGTACCTTGACTGTGGTGGTAGCTTCATACGTGTATATAGCTATCAAAATCCATCAAGTTGTACATCTGAAATATGTATAGTTTGCTGTACAGAAATTATGCCAAAATAAAGGTTTTAAAAAGGAATAAGGAACAGGGAGGTGTTGTAAATAAATAATAACAAGATGGTGTGATAGGTAACATCATGAAAGCAGGTACCAGGAGGGCAAAGATTCTCACGACAAACTCCATGGGACGTAGAGCCCAGGAGGGAAATACACACACTGGACAGCAGCACACACAGGCCCCGAGTGTTGTGGCCGCTACATTTCTCCTCACTTGACTCTCCTAGCTCCCACAACACTTCCAGCCATCAGAACTCTGCTCCTCCCCGGTCTCCCCGCCACGTCACTCTCGCCTTCACTTTAATGAGCTACCTCCAGTTCCCCAGACCACCAGGCCTTCCTGGTTCGCCCCTGGGGTCCGTTCTGCCTCGAATACCCTCCCCACCCTGCCTCTTCCTGCCCCCATCTGTGAGGCAGATTCCCACTCCTTCAGAAGCCTAAAGCAGCAGCCCCTCCAGGAAACCATTCTTGCCACCCCACCTCCAACACTAGGATTATGGTCTTTGCTCTGTTCAGATTTTCCGTTTTCCCTTTGAAACTTCCCAAATAGTGAAAATAGCTTAACAGCAATTGATTTTTAAAACTTAAATTATTTAAGGAGTTTATTTAAAATATTTATTAAATGGGCTGGATATTTTCACTGACTTCTGAATAATGAAACAAAGAGGTTCTAAAAAGTCTATGAATTAACGAGTAGCAATGGAGAAAATACAAGGTTACGCCTTTGGAGAACAATAGTCTTTTGTACATGAGTTCTGAAACATTTATTTAAAAAAACATAGCCTCGTTGATTTGCACATGTGCTTATATAAAAGACTGCCTATGGGGGGAAGGGATAGCTCATAGCGGTAGGGCGCATGCTTAGCAGGCACAAGGCCCTGGGTTCAATCCCCAGTACCTCCTCCAAATGTAAATAAATAAATAAATAAACCCAATTACCTCTCCCTCATAAGCCAAACAAACAAACAAAAAGATTGCCTACAACAGGAAGTCAAGACATACGCAGCTCCCTCAAATCAGACACGGGCAGACTGTGTGTGCAACTGGACAGAGAAGTACGATCCTGGGGTGGGGACACGCACACAAAACTGCACTAAAGAAATGAAGCACTAATTGTGAACATGAACTTAATGTGAACTTAAGCAAGAACGTAAGCAAGAACCATGTGGCAGGATTAGAAGTGTGGGAAGGAGGGTGGCTTAGAGTAGAAAACTTGTATTAGGGAATGAATGCCAGGGAACAGTTGGGTAAGTAGGAGGGAGTCAGATTTGATATGATACCATAGGCTTTAAAAAAAAATGAAGTCTACTTTACATACAACACTATATGTTTCACCTGTACAATACAGTGATTCAGTATTTGTACACACTGCGAAATGGTCACCAGGGTAAGTCTAGTTAACATCTGTCACTATACAGAGTTA